CCCCCACACACACACACACACACACTGTCTTAAACATATAATAGTGACCAAGGCTGAGCTTGTTTGTTAGTTTTTCTCCCATTTCTGTAGCTGAAATCTAATTATAATCAAATTATCAGCCTCCCAGCAGGATGAGAAATGTGTTTTTGTTTTAAATGCAATAATCAAATGGAAACTCTGGTGCTCTATAACTTCTCCTGCATGACAGTAAATTTCCATCGAATGAGACCAGAGCCGCAGCTAAACAGAGTTCATCATTGTCTGTAATTTTAAACATTTCCTTAACAAAAATAATAAATCAGTTAACTGAATCAGGCAACAATGAGAAAAGTGTTTAAACTTTAATATGTACAGCTGGAGTGAGCATTGTCAGAACAGAACAAAGCAACTCAGTGCCACAAGACTGACTTCGTACAGAAACAAACACATTACTTTAGAAGGAAAAGGGACATTTTAAAAACACATAAACGTTTCTAAAAAATGCACAGCTGGGAATCTGGCAGCTAATGTTTTTTCTGGTAGAAAGAGGAAGACTCAGCCTCCTTCCTTTTGTTAAAGCAGTAAATAAATCCCTTTAAAATCTGGGCTGAAGTCTTTCAATGCTCCAAACAATCTGAGCCACGTCTAAAGACGTCACTTAACAGAAAATCTGTGTTTCCCTCGTGCAGGTCAGCGGACATGTGATACTTTCACTCACACAGTGTTCCTATAGTTTCTGGGAGGTTTTTGGCTCAGATGAGTTTTCCATTCTTTCCTGGGATGGAAAGCCCAGTTTTCATTTCATCGTTATGTCAGCCCTGTGGGTTGATTGAAAACAGACCTGTGGTACTGATGATTTACACTTGACTGTTTTTGGATCGCAGAGCTTTTGAACGGAGCTCTGCAAAACCACAAGCCTGCTCTGATTTTAGAGGTCACTCAGTTTATGGGTTTTCTCTTGTTCTTTAATTTGACTAATGTGGCAAATAATGAGTTACTGTTATTACTTCCTGATAATTACAATAAAAAATAGATTATCTGTCTTCTTTGTGAGACTGAGGCAGTGCGCCAGCCAGTTATATAGAGTTTTAGAGGGAAGGCAGCCCAAAATGTGAAGATTTCCCAACTTTATGGAACTGTTTGTCAACTTCTGCAGTAAAAAACAAATAACTTGTTGTTTTGTCTTTGCTAACAAGTTGAGAAGATCTGTGGTGGCAGCTGGAGAGAAACAAGCAACAGCCGACTATCGAATCAGCAAAAGGTACGAAGTCTTTTTTTAGATATTTACCACTATTAAAAAACACAAATCAGTGTAAGTTGCTGCAGCTTCTTGCAAACTGATAATTATTCATGTGGTTTGTTCTCAGTGCATGGCTGAAGGACTCAGCAGGAAGCAACGTCGAGAAGCTGGATCAGCGGATCTCGTTGATCACTGGTTTGAACGTAAAGCATCCGTCCGGCGAGTACCTCCAAGTGGTGAATTATGGGATCGGCGGTCACTACGAACCTCATTTTGACCACGCTACAGTAAGTTTAAAGTCAGCTCGTAAGTCGTTAACATTTGTTCTTTAAAAGTCTTTAATGTTTCCTCATTAAACCAGTCGCCATCCAGTCCCGTGTTCAAGCTGAAAACTGGGAACCGCGTGGCGACCTTCATGATTTATGTAAGAATATTTTTGGATGATTTGGATTATAAAACCTGTTTTTTGTTTGTTTTATTGAAGTGAGAGTAAAACTTAAGAGAACTTGAACACTTGTGAAGTTAAAAAGTCCTGGTTCTCCTGAAGAAAAGGACTCCAAACCGCTATCACTGAATAAATCTTGTTTTCCACAGCTCAGCCCTGTGGAAGCGGGAGGATCTACTGCTTTTATTTACGCCAACTTCAGCGTTCCTGTTGTGGAGGTGAATAATACAAATGTGTTTTTTTTATACATCAGTAATGACATTAATGGGATGGCTTGATTATTTCCATCTTCAGCCCAGATTTTCTGGTTCTGATGTTAAAAGAGCTACAAAGGAGGCACGAGAAGCCTTCTTTTAGCTTGTAAACCTGCATTTTGGACACATTTAAACCTTTTTCCTACAACCGTGAACTGCCTGTTGTTGTTGTTTTTTTATTTGACATTTATAATGAGGTCTAATGTGGTCAGAGTTTCTGTCGATGATCTTCCTCAGAAATTATCTCGTTTATGATTAAAAAAAACCTGACGCTTTATTTAAAATCACCTACTGTACAACTGTGACCAGTTATAAACTCGGCAGTTTATAAATCTGACTTGATTTCACAGAAAGCTGCCATCTTCTGGTGGAACCTCCACAGAAACGGTCAGGGGGACGAAGACACGCTGCACGCTGGCTGCCCCGTGCTTATTGGGGATAAATGGGGTAAGATTTGTTGGGTTCGGGGATGAAACTGCATCACAGGGAGGGAAAAAATACCCAGTGTCCTAATATAAAAGAGCTAGGCCACATTTGAGCTCCATTTGGCTTTCAGAGACGATACACAGAGCAGTTCAGACCCTGAGGGCTCATTCTGGAACGTGAACATCTGCTGCTGTTTGGCTCGGAGAAGCAGATGAGATTTACAGAGTAGTTAAACCAACAGAACCGTACGAGTAATCGGAAAGCAGCTGCAGAAGAATCTGAATGTGCTTTGTGTCACAAAACAGTAGGTTGAAAGCGTGCAAGGGTTTATTTTTAAAAACAATATTTCTTTGTATTTTTAGTGGCAAACAAATGGATCCATGAGTACGGCCAAGAGTTTGAGCGTCGCTGCAGCTTGAATCCTGAAGAGTGACTTGAGGAGGACCTGGTAGAGGACCGGTCTTTATAGTTGCAGGCAGAAACTTTGTTCACAGGTTTGGGCTCTGACATTGATGAAGGAGCAGCCTGCAACTGAGACTGGAGCCCAGAGTCCCAGGGAGCCTGAGGGACATGAGTGGGCCCTTAGGGGGGCATCATTTGGTGGACAAGGAGGAGTGGGGTAGCTGAAGATCAGAGTCCAGAGACGAAGGTCCCGATCTTTCTTTGATTCAGGTCTTTCCCAATATGTGCTCCAGGATGAATTTAAAGAGAAACTAAAGATATTAAATTAATTTATTGAATTATTTATTTTTGTAATATTGTGGCTTGAATGTTGAGTTCTGAAAGACTTTGCTGAAACTTGTTGAAGAATAAAAACAAGCAATAAAAAATGGCAATGGTTCATGTTCTCTTTTCATTTTGTAAGTAAAGTTAAATAATTCACCGGTTATAAAAGTCATTTTAAATAACAGACAGTTAAATTAGCTCAAAAGTTCAGCACTGAAATGATAAAACCATTGTGTTTCTAAGATAAACCATTTTTAAGAGCTATAATGATTCAGGATTTATTCAGAGTTCAGTTTTGCTTCAAGAAAGTGAATTTTGAATTTTGTGTTCTCCCAGTGGATTATCAGTCCTAAAATTCAATCTGGGTCACGCTTTATTTCCAGCTGACTGAATAATTTGTTCATCTTCTGCCTTTAAAACAACTTAGTGTTTAATGGAAAACATGAACCAATAAGTCAGCCTCAGATACCGGCCCTTTATTAACCATTTGTTCCTCCGTGTGCCAACCCATCTGAGCTCTTACGGTCTGTCTGCATAGTTTTCAGATTACTCAGAAATCTGTGATGAAATAACTCAAAAATCCATCTTAAAACAGTATCAAAATGGATAAAACCCTTTGTGCTCTCTTATGCAGGCGTTTTTGGGGATAACTTGCCATTTGATTGATGTATATAGAAACATTCCTGCACACAATCATAACCGCAAGACTTTATTTTCATTGAAAGTTGATAGGAAAGGAAGCCACGCTGTGCTGAACAACTGAACAAACATAAAAATTGCAGTTCAACCATTAATAATAAGACATTTTTTGAATACAGCAGAGAGTTTGAATGATTTCTTTTTTCCCTCTTTCAGTAGCTTTCTTTATTACCACAGCAAACGTGCAGAGATGTGCTGCTATATGCTCAGGGCTGTTCAAACGACTAAAGCACACATGGGTGGTTCAAAGGTCTTTCTCATCAAACTGTCAAAAACATGAAGTATTTCTGCACTCTGGGGAAAAAAAACAGCTTTTTTGTTGATCCTTCTGACTAATTTTGAGATCAAACTGATTATTTTACTGTGTGTAAAGTAATGCTGGAAAAAGATATATTGACTGAGCAACAAACAGCTGAAAAAAAGAAAAAGAAAAGAAATAAAAGTGTTTGCAAATTTTAGGTTCCAGAAAGAAGGAACTGCTTCCCTCTTGTGGTGCAATAGTAGGAGTTTAACTGGAAAATTTTCAGGTAAAATAATTGTGCTGATTTTTACCTTTAGATGTCACAAAATTAAAAATGATTTTTTTTGTAATTTTTGTCTTTTTCAGGGATGTAAATGTAATTTATTACCATTTTAGCAGCTCTTTTGCTTCTGCTTTGTTGCTCTTTATGATGCTAAACTGTTTCAGCTTTTTCGTTGCACTCATAAACTCAGAGTTTTACAAACTGCTAACTGTTGTAACAAGTAATATCTATGATTGTTTGTTCTTAATTAATAAACTTTTAGTTTTGACCGTTGTATTAGTTCACCATATGAACCCACAAACTGGAGAATCATCAGGTCTCACTTACAGAAACTGTTTATATGTTAATTCATTGCTCTTAAAGTAGGATTTTGTTGATTTTTCATGTTGTAATTAAAATGGTGAATGACAGATTTAATTGCCATGAGGTACAGTGAAAGTTTACTTTTTTAAAGTAAAAAATGTAAAATAGCATCTTAAGTTTGAAAAATACGAAAAAATATAAAGAAAAATTATATTTAAGTACTAAATTAATTAATTAATGTCTAAAGATTTAAAAACTGAATAAAACTACATTTCCCAGAATCCTTCAGTCCATCAATACGGAAGCGCGACTTTTTTTTTTTTTTACGAAAGCGCGACTTGTTGCTCCCCGGATGATTTTTTTTCGCGCTGCCGTTTGTTTTGTGTAGTAGTTTGTGTGTTTGCGACTCATTCAGCTTTGTTAAGAGGATTTTTATTTGTCCATAAAAAGAAAATAAACATGTCTGCCGACGGCTCGGACGATGTTTTAGACTGGCTGTCGTTCACGGACTGTTCTTAGGGATGAAGAACAAAAAACAGAAAAAAAGAAAAGGTAAGCTTAGCTGCTATGTTGTGCTAATGAGTAGTTAACTGTCAAATTCATGCTAGCTTTATGCTAGCTCAGTGTCTCGATTAAGGTTAAAATAAATGCGGACTAACTGTTTGAATTTGAGTGTTTTTATTATTATT